TCGCCCGCCGCGCCGCTGCCGCCCTCATGGCCCTCGCTGGCCCGCTGCTGTTCCGCGTGGGGTGAGTGTCCGCCGCTCCGGTACCCCTCGCCGGGAGGGAGCCGCAGCCGCCGCCGCCCGCCTTTGTTCTGCCTCCGGGAGGAAGGGCCCGTCCTCCTCGGCTTGCGCGGAGTCCCCCGGGGAGGGACCGGGGCCGGCCCGGTGTGTGCTCCGGACCCGCTGGCACGGAGAGGCCGGGCTGGGGCTGCGGGTGGGCAGCCCTCCACGGGTGCTCAGCTCGCTCGGGCCCGGGGGGCGAGGGCGGGCGGTGTCAGCCCGGCTACCGGGGGGGCTTCGCAGGGCCGGGAATCAGCCACCGGCTCCCCCAGCACGGTGACGGTCACCCTCGGATCTGACACTCTCCCCCCCCCGCCGCGGGGCTCCTTCCCTCGGGTCTAATCACTAACCCACCCCGGTGCCCTGGCCGTGGCCCTGCTGCCCGGTGCTGACAGGAGCCCCCGCTCCCCGGCTTCGGGCTCCCACCCCCCATAGGTGCAGGGGCCCCCCGGTTCCTGCCAGGATCCCTCCCCGGTGAACCAGCCGGTGCCGGCACGGAGGATGTAACCATCCCGGGGGATGCCCTTGTCCCGGGGATGGGCTTTGCAACCGGGGGCTTTGCATGTCCTTCATGGCACCGGTCCCCAGCCCCAACCCCGAAACGCTGCTGTATAAATGGGGGAGTGCCCCCGAGCCCCCCCCCCCCCAGCCTGCATCTGTTGCACCCCTCCGTGGCACATGCCGCGGGGTCGTTTCTCACTTCCCTTTTCCTCTGCCCGTTCTGCTCCTGCTTCCCTCTTCCCCGGGGCTGTGGCACCCAGGGAGGGCCCTCAGAGCGGGGTCAGCCCTGAGCATGGCCCCCCCGGGGCGAGGGGGGGGACAGCCGGCAGCCAGACCGCTGCTGCGGGCAAAACCCTGGGGCTCCAGCCCTTCCCGGTGAGCAGAGCCCTCCTGGACAGACGGCTGGACAGATGGACACCCCCGCAGTGATGCTGCCCACTCCCCACCCCCCCGATCCCTGGTTCTTGCTGCCCGGAGCAGCTGGGGGGGACTTGTCTAGGGAACCGATTCTGCCCTGGCTGCAGATCTGGGGCAGGCGGCTGGGGTGGGGGGGGGGATACGCCACCTCCAGCCCCCGCATGTGGGAAAGCGATGCTGTATGTGTCCCCCATGGGGGTCCCAGCCCTGGCAGCAGCCCCCTCCCCAAGGAGGGCTCCATGGGGGGGGCCGGGGGTTAACACTGGGGGGTGGTCTGCCCTCCCCAGGTACAGCCTGTACGCCCACACGCGGCTGGGCTATCTCTTCTACCAGCGGCAGGTGAAGAAGGCCCGGGAGCGGTACCCCCACGGCCACTCCGCACCCCAGCCCTGCTGCTTCCCCGGTGAGTCTTGGCGAGCCACCCCCACACACACCCCCTGCTGTGGCCCCATCATGTCCCTCAACACTGGCACTTTGGGGTGGGGAGGGATTGCCATCGCCAAATTGCCCAAAGCATGTTTAACTGCGAACTTGATGTGGGGAGTTTGGCTTGCCCCCGCCACCTTTCCTGGGCAGGGGCGGTCGTGCCCTGATGTCTGTCTGTCTGTTCGTTGCTCCAGGGATGAAAATCCTGCCCATTCCCGTGCTCTCCAACAACTACAGCTACCTGGTGATCGACACTGGCTCTGGCCAGGCGGCCGTCATCGACCCCTCTGACCCACTGGCCGTGCAGGTGAGACCCCTGCAGCCCCCCTGACCCGGTGTTTGGGTGTCCCCGGGTGAGGGGATGGCATGTCTCTGGCTTTTTGGGGGGCAGAGGAGGGCAAATCTGCCCCTAAGCTGCAGCCCTTAGTGCCCAGGGCAAGGTTGGAGGGTAGCAGGGCTCATCCAGCACCTGGGGAGCTGGCGGGGGGGGGAGGTTAGGGAGAGGCAGGTACTCGGGATCTGTGTCCCCCCCAAATCTCTCTGTCGTCCATCCCCCCCCATTCCTAGGCTGCCATTGAAGAAGAGGGGGTGATGCTGGAGGCCATATTCTGCACCCACAAACACTGGTAAGGGGCAAGAGGGGGCCCTCGGGGTGTCAGTGGCTGCCGTGGAGGGTGTCCCAGCTGAGGCAACCCCCAGCCCTACTCCACGTGGGGGGAATATAGGAGGGACATATTTAGGGGCACTGACCTCCCTGTCTGCAGGGACCACAGCGGGGGGAATGCGGCACTGCGCCAGCGGCACAGCTCCTGCAAGGTGTATGGCAGCACTCTTGATGCCATCCCAGAGCTCACCAAGTAAGTCCTGCGCCCTGCATCGCCCCCAGGACCCCTGTAAATTTGAGGGGGGGGGGCTTCACCCCCAACCACCACTGTCTGCTCCACCCACCCACCAGTCCATCCTCCAAGTACCACATTGCCCCCTTTGTGTGCAGAGACCTGGCACCCTCATAACACTACTGTACCAGAGAAGGGTTGCATGGGGAGGTAGAGTGTTTTGAGGTGCTGGGAGGGGGTGTGGGGGGGCACCCTGACGGTGCATCCCTGTGCCCGGTGCAGCCCGCTTGCGGACAGGGAGAAGGTGAGGGTGGGCAGCCTGACCTTCGAGGCGCTCGCCACGCCTGGCCACACCGTGGGCCATATGGTGTACGTGCTGGATGGGGGGCCCTTCGGCGGCCCCCCCTGCCTCTTCTCTGGGGACCTCCTCTTCCTCGCTGGCTGCGGTGAGTGCGCCTGACCCCAGACCTGGGTGGCTTGGGGGGGTTCCCACCCTGGGAAGGGCTTGGGGGGACCCCCCAATCCCACCCCCCTCCATGACAGGAGGTTGCGCGGGGGTCCAGGCAGGCTGTTTGAGGGCTCCCCTGAGACCATGCTCGCCTCCCTGGACGTGGCCGTGGGCTTGGGCGAGGACACGCTGCTGTGGCCGGGTGAGTGTCCCCAGCAGCGGGGCAGAGCCGCTGGTGTCTCCCCTAACCCCCACTGCCAAGCTGGGGAGCCGGGCAGGAGCGATGCTAAGGGGTACGGGGGTCCGCAGGCCACGAATACGCGCTGGAGTGCCTGACCTTCGCCAGCCTTCTGGAGCTGGACAACCCCGCGCTGGAGCAGAAGCTGCAGTGGGTGACGCAGCAGCGCCAGGAGAAGAGGAGCACGGTGAGGCTGGGGGGGTGTTCCCCTGCCTGCAGCCCTCCCACCCCAGCCCCTCGCAGGGTTCCCCATCCCTTGGTGGGGATGCTGCACCCCAACACCCTCGTGCATGGAGGGTGCTATAGGGGAAGGGGGTGCTGGAGGTGGGGGGTCATGGCTCCCTGCTGGGGGTGTTGCCTCTGGCGGGGGTCTGAGCAGCTGTCCCTGCAGTGCCCCTCCACACTGGGGGAGGAACAGACCTACAACCCCTTCCTGCGGACCCACCGGCCGGAGCTGCAGGCAGCGCTGGGGCTGCGGCGGGGTGGGGGGGAGCACCCCGATGCCTTCCGCGCCCGCGTCCTCAAGGAGGTGCGGAGGCGCAAGGACCTCTACAAAGCCACCTAGACGCCCCCCTCCTTCCTGGACCCCCCCCTCTTCCATGGGGCCGGGCACGGGGGGCCCAAGACTGTGTGGTTTGTATTGCTGTGAATCTCCCTCCTGGGGTGCAGGGTTGGGGGGGGGGAAGAGTGGACCCCCCCCACCATGTGGGCACCCTGTAAGTGATCCCTGCCTTTGCTCCCCCAGACTTGGGGGTCACCAGCTCTCACGTAGAAGCACCTCGATCCCCTTTCTGGGGGTCTGTAGCCCCCCACCCCACTGCTGGGACTGTAGGGAGGGTACCAAGGGCTTTTCCTAACACACACACCCACCGTTTTTCTGGGACCCCCTACTTCTCCCTCACTCCCCCAGCACTCAGGGAGCCCCCCTTTTCCTGGCAGCCCCTAGTGCTGTGAATCTCCTTTGGGGGGGCGACGGTACTGGGCTGGGCTGGAGCCAGCAAGGGGCGGGGGGTACCCAGTACTACCTCCAGACAAGAGGTTCTTTTCCAACACCCCACGCTTGGTGCCGCAGCCCCCCCACCCCACACGTGTGCGTACACACACACACCGGAATGGGGCCACGGGGGCACACGTGTGGGAGGGTGCTGCTGCTGCACAGGGGACTGGAGTCGTGTCCCCCCCTCAACCCCCTGCAAATAAAAGTCTGGATTGGATTTGCACCAGTTTGGCCCTTTCGCTCCGCGGCCTGTGCCCGCCCCGCCCCCCCCGCGAAACCCCGCTGCGGGGTCGGTGTCCCTTTAAGAGGCGGGTCTAGGCTGTTGCTACGGAGACCGCTGAGGCGTTATTGGGGGGGGCACCTGGGTCCGGCCCGGGCAGGTCTGGGGGCCGGGGGGCAGG